TGTTCACTTGAGGATCTTAATAGTAGAGATTTCCCTGCGTTCCTAACAGCAGAAACCACTCTCATTTTCGAAAACAGCAGAAACAACATTCTTTGCATACAGAGTTGCGCAATTTTTCTCAGAGTACTGGAGGTGGCATGGAACTGCAGGCATCTACAAGAGCCTTTGATTTAATCAGCGCGAGTGACTTAAAGAAGTGGTAAAGCAAAATAAAATAAGTTTAGGAAAGGCAACTTTATGCCTGCAAAATAATTGCAGTACTGAGATCCATATGGCAAGGTTTTCAGTGTCATTTCCTACAGCTGAACTTAGTTGGAGTAGGTTCTCATGGCATGCTTGTTTTTATTTTTGTTTCACTAGAAACTTACGGGGAAAAGAATTAGAGAAAATTAGACTAGGTAAACTTAAGGAGGAAGGGAGTTGAGACTGTTAGAGGTTTACGAGATTTGTGCCTGTCGCGCGCGGGGTAAAGTTTTTTCAAACATAAAAAAAATATGTGTTAAGGTAAAATCAATGTTTTCAAAGAAGTAAGGGTAATTCACTTAATTAGGTTAAATAAGATTAACAAAAGGTATCAAGAAAATTTTTTGACAATAATGAACTATAAAAAATAGCTAACAAATATCATAATCAAATGAGTTAGTAAATATCATCAAGAGAAAAAAAAAATATCATCAAGAGAAACACATTGTAATATCACAATTAAAAAACACATATCACAATTAAAAAACAACTTGTTAAAACAATTGTAATATCATTATTGTAATATCATTATGAAAGGTTATATAACAACATTGTAACAACATTGAAAGAGATTAAATGCATTATTAGAGCAACATGTAATGAAGATATCATGTTTACCGCACCACAATTAAAAAAAAAACTTGTTAAAACAATTTTAATATTATTGTGAAAGGTTATACAATGATATTAAAAGAGATTAAATGCATTATTAGAGCAATAACATGTAAACCAAATAAGTAAAATATTATGAAATGAACATAATATGTTTATATTTAATTAATTAATTTAATTTAATTCAAAAACAATAATTTTTTAAAAAAAGTTAAATTTAACAAAGAGTGAATAAAAAAGATTCAAGATGACTTAAGATTTTTTCAAAATTAGTGAAAATTTTTATAGAAAGCAAATAAAAGAACATATCCCAAACTCCAATTAAATAAATATTAAAGAATAAAATTTAAAAAACATGAGCTTAAAAAAAATCAAGCAATACAAAGTAAATCTCCTAAACTTGAGTTAATTTTTTAAACTTGTAATTAATAAAATCTTAGACTAAGATTCAATCAAGAAGCTCATTTCCTAATCAATTTAATATTGAAAGATTAAATTTGATATCTAAAAAATTTGTCAAAGTAATACAAATAGAAATTAAAATATTAAAAACTAAATTTGATATAAAAATAAAATTAAATACCGTGGGAAGAAATTAAAAATAAATTCAATTAAAAACAAATTAAAAAAATCATAGATTAAATCTAATGGATGAAAAAAACAGAAGAAAAATAAAATTAAAAAAAAATTAAAATCATTATAAATAAAATAAATAGTAATAAAAATAAGGATTAAATATAAGAAAAAAAATTGAAGAATTATTTTAAAATTTTATAATTCAAACATGAAAATTAAAGAGAAATAAAAAAAATGTTTACACTAAACTGAATGTGCATACACCACAAGCACCGCTTAGAAGTGAAGGGGCTACCAAAACTATTTGACTGTCACCCAAGCAACTACCATTTGACCACAAGATCACCTATACATGTCACCCGAATGAAATGGCTTCATTCCATGCCTCAATCATTTTTTTAATAATATTTATATTTATTCAATTATAAAAAATCAATCATCCAACTTGATAATAACTAAAATATTAGGATGAAAAACCGAAAAAACCCCCGGTCAAAGATTTTTTTTATAATTTAAAAAAAATATAGTCATTATATTGTACTTTAAAAAATAAAAAGTCTAAATAACATGTCATTTTACTATTTTTTATTTTAAATATAAATTAATAATTTTACTGTTTAAAAATATAAAAAAAAAACCTCATATCCCTGATAACCAGGCCAGATATTTTTCCTCATAAAGATAAAATCATAATTTTATTATTATAATCCATGGTGAAGATGGGGTACCAAACAATGGCATTCAGAACACCGTTTCAGTTTTTTATTTATGTTCCCTGTGCATAAACCTCTTTGATAATTGGAAATAATTTTTGGAAAATGAGCTTCATCTCGTATAAACTATTAAGTAGCAGAAAATTAGAGAATTCTCTCTGCATTTTGGGGTTAGGCTGGGGATTTCATTGGTAACAAGCTCAAATCTGGAACCTTTTAAATGTTCAGCGCGCCCCCACCCCCCCGGGGAAAAGATACAGACGCACTCTTCTGAAACTCTATGCAAAGGAGAAGCATTTTCTTGTCATGAACCAGCAAAAAACAGACTTTGAGGTCTTTGTATCATTCAAGGAGGTACTCAAGAGAGCTTTCCAGTGTGTGGCATGCTTGCGGGTTACATGAAATCTGGAAAATTTATTTGATCATCCTGCACAATGCCTTCTGGAGATGGAAGCTAAGTTTGAGAATTTCATCAAGCAGCTAGAGGCAGCAAATAAATCTGAAGCTCCCTCGGGAAATCTCCATCGAAGTATTGGGTCCTGTTTGATTCTCAAACACCAGCAATTGGATTGTCATTTCCATGGTTATTATCAAAAGCCCCCTCTAGCTATGCTTGGCATGCGGCCTCTCCACCAGAAAAGACTTGATGCTGGCATAATTCCGTTTATCAGGCTGCTTCAGAGATGGTCCAGTTGCATGTGTGCTAGTCCTGCTTGAAAAGAACTAGAGATTTGCGAGCAATTTTGCCAGGGGGGATGGTTTCGAAGTTGTTGGCTAGTGGGAAGGTTATAGTCGACTGAGACCCGCTCACCCCCAATGAGAACTAGGGAAAGCATGCTTGGTACGGATCAGCCTACCATTACGAAGAATCTATTTGAAATGTCAATCTAGCCCATCATAAGGTAAGAAGTCAAGAAGCTAAATAAGGCATTGAATGGATTTGTTCGAAGCATTTGGATCAAGATTTATTTCAAGAAAGTTTCAACACATATGGGGTAGCCTATAATCAGATATAATTCATGTGTGAGAATGACTTACTCAACCCCCAACTTGGGTCTAAGGTCGGCGGTATAATTTGACAACCTTGTTTGAACAACTTTTCATATTCTACAAGGAAAAAGATAGGTGAGACAATTAATTTTAACATTATCAAAATATTTTAGTAGAGTATTATTGGAGTTTCCATATTTTACAAGGAAAGGGTAAGCATTTAATTCTAACATTTGTAAGAATATTTTGGTAGAATATTTTCACAATAGCAATTATAAAGATTTTCATATTTATTTATAAGAGTGAAGGTTGACATACATTTAAATCGGTTTTGAATTGATTTTTTTAATAGATAATTTTATATTAACAAGTATAAATTTTTATCCAATCATTAGATTAGGTTAAAATTTTACGATCTAGAGACCTTTTTTTATATATTGTTAAAATTTTATAATGATAAAAAATCAGAAAAGTCTTGTAATAAGATCCAAAAGTTATTGTGCAGTATTTGTATTAAATTCTTAATTGATTTATAATTTTTTTGTTAATTTATTTAGAATTTATTTAGTATTTTTTTAGTATTATTTATGATATTTACTACATATTATAAATAGGAATTATTTAGCTTGTATTTATGATTTTTTAATAGACTTTAATTTCATAATAGTTTGTGTGTATAAAAAAACTCATCTTTTTAATTCTTGAAAAAAATAAAATTGATTTATCAAAAAACAACTATTCTCATGAGGTTATTTTTATACTTTTCATTTGAAATTTACTAATCATTGAGAAAGGTTGGAATCTTAATATTATTTGTATCTTAATTTAAGATAATCATTTGTCCTACTTTTTATGAATTATATTTAAACATGCTTATGGTTACTAAATCTTTATATTCATGTGATTTGCATATCACTCCTAAGCTTCAATGGGATCTTTAAGGATTTTGCTTGATTGAAATTATGTGGGATTTACATCTTATACAAAAATCTTTAAGGTTTTCCCAGTAATTATAATATTATAATTCCCTTCCACTATCCCGTTATGCCACTTCTACCTGCTGCTTATCAGCAAAAGGAAGAGAAATGCGTCTCAGCTTTTGTGATTTGTGCCTGCAGAAATCAAAGTTTAGATTAGGAATTACTCGTTCGACAAATTAAGCTTAGTTTGTACCCAATATTAAATGCACTTTCATGGGGGTGTGGACCCAAATTGTAGGAAATTAAGCGAAAATAATCACACGTTCCAGTAGTAGTAGTGATAATTAATTCTTAATTTATCTTGTTTAATTAAATATTGATAATAGTGATAATTAATGCTTATACTTTTTATTTTTCAAAATTAACTATAAAAAAGAAGTGAAGAAACATTATATATGCACAGGGAATAAATTATCATTCATTGAAATAGTAATTTAACTAAATTATCTTTTACCCAAAGACTTTTTAACTAGGCATTAGGTGGTTTAGGATGATATTTTTATCATGACATAATTATGTGTTTAGAAATTATAGAAGGGTATATTAGTTTTTTTGTTTTTTTATTGTATAGTAAAATTAGTAATTTAACTCTACAATATATATATATATATATATATATATATATATATCTTTTCTTAAAAAACTAACATATTTTCTAAAATGAGATGTGTTTTTTTTTCAAAAATAAAACCATGAGTTATTATTTTGATATCTTTAAAAACAAAATCAACATAACTCTCTTACTGCGACTTTTTTTATCATTTTATATTAGTTTTAATATAAATTTAAAAGTTATTCAAAGACATTATTATATGTATTAAATATTATTAAAAAGATTTATTGATATGTGCTACGCGTGTGGATGACTACCTGTGCCATTGAGGCAGTGTATCTCAGACTATACAGTCATCAAACACCGCCTTGAAAAATTTTATAATTTTATTTTTTAAAATTAAATTGGTTGAGAGTTAAGTTTCTTAATTGAAGTCGGATCAAGGATTTCACTAGTTACGAGTTTTAGAGATTAAATTAGGTTTAGAATGATTGTTCAAGTTTGCTTCTTTTTTTTTCTTTTTTAATCTTATGTTTTCTTATCTTTTTTTTTTTTAGAGTTTCACTTTGTTATTTTTTATTGTTTGTCTTCTATATGATAAGCCTAGGTTCATGAACAAAGTCATTAGTTTCAAAACTTAACGTGGGCTGAATTTTGTTTTTATTTTTTATTCTTTTTTAAAATTGATTTATTTTATTTTCATCATTCAAAATTTTATTTATTAGGAGTTGGTCTTTGTAATTTTTTTTCCTTTTTCTTTATATTGGTTATCTTGATAGGATTAGTCTGTTAACCTGAATTAACTCATATTTTTTTCTTATTGTTTTTTTATGTAATATTTTTTTTCTTTAACATTAAGTTGATTGATAATTGAATTTCATGATTTCATTCAATTTGCTTTTAAGCATAGTTACTTTCATATCATAATTGGGTCAAGGATTTTGCATTTTAACCTAAGTGAGCTCAAATCAAGTTTTTTTTACCATTTTTTTAATTATAATGTTTCTTTATTTTATTCTTGCAACATTTTATTTACTAGAGATTGAGCTTCAACTTTTTTTTTATTTTCTATAGAGTTATTATATTTTTATTTAATTTATTAGGAATTGATCTTCAATGTTATTTTTTCATGTTTTTCTCTCTATGATATTATCTCAATTTTATACTCATAGTCATGGAGTTTGTGAGTTAACCTAGTTTAACTGGGGTTGTTTTATTATTTTTTTAAATCAGTTTCACAGTTCAATATTAGGTTTTTTATACTCTGAATGGGTTCAAGTCAGGATTTGTTTTATGTTTTTTACTATTATTTTTTCAATTTATTTATTATTGTTGTATTTTTTATTCATATTATTTAAATTACCAATTGGACTAATGACTTGGATTTCATATTCTTTTTCCTTAGCAATTTTTATATATAACAACAAATTGACTAGTCTGTGATAAAAAAGTGTGTTGCAAATCTAGTATTAGCTAACTAGTATTGAATTGGGCTGGGCTGGTCTTGCAAAGAACTACAAAATATGAAATACAATGGGAAAAAAGAATAAAAATGTGTGGTTGCTAAAAAGTCCAAAATAATGAATTTAATCATTTATTGGGCTATCAATTTCCAATTACATAAACAACTAAATCATATAATGTTTTTACTATTTAGTATATTGTGGACTTGGACTTAAAACACATTATGGGTTTTAATAGTGTAGTTATTATTTAACCATTAATTTTTTATAAGTTTTAGTTGCGTTGAGAGGTTTTTATAAATTTTTATCTTCATTAATGTTTCCTCACTTTTTTTCTTTATGACACTATGTTTCTTTCTTCTTCTTTTATTCACAAATAAAAAGGAGAGAGGATAAAGGAAGGGTTTAGGGAGAGAAATTGTAACCTAATATATGTGTGTGTGTGTGTGTTTGTTTTACTATTTAATGTATTGTAACCATTTGATTAATTATTAGTTAATAGTGATCGAGTTTGTTTTTATAAATATTTTGGGTTAATGTTGTTAAAATGTTAGTTTGCTTGATCATTGTTATCGTTGTAATGTGTGTTTTAATAGGAAAAGAATGAGATGATACATATTATGTTCATACTACTCTAGATGATTTGGAGCTGCATGTTGTGAGAGGTTGAGCTAACTACAAAAATCTTCCTGTGATATTTTGTTTAGCTAGGTTAGTGTCTTGAAAAATATATTTGGTTTGTGTGTAAAAGTATATTTTTTAATGTATCTAAATTGAAAATAATAGTAAATTGATATCTTTTTATATGATCTTGGATAATTTTGATATGTGTGTGTATAAACCCCTTAATAAAATATTTAATTGATGAGTTTTCAATTTATATATATTTTTCAAAATTGCTTATTTTGCCTTACCAATTAAGGCCTTAGTATTTTTAGTTATTAATGTATTTTTCTTGAAATTTTAAGTTCTGTTATCAGATAGGTTATAGTGGTAAAAAATGATAACAAAGACTTTCTTAAACAAAAAAAAAAAGGTATTTAATGAAGAACATTATTTGAATTTGAAAGGAACGAACCATGATTATTTCAAGAAGCAAGGAGACAATCTTATGTCATACCTAACAAATATTGTAAGTATTTCAAGCAATTATTTAATTAATATAGTTATATATTTGGATAAATCTTATACTTAAGTTAGAAAGATTTAGAGTTATAGTGAGTTGATTTATGCAAAGCATTTCTAAATAAAGCAAAGTGGAACTACAGCAAAATTACATCATCTTTTTAATATTGTTTTGAAAATGGATGGTGATCCCTGTATAGAATTGTTATACTTTTTTAGGTTTATTTATCACCGGGCCAAAATATTTTAGAGAATGTACTTGATTATTTAATAAACTATCATAGATTACTATATTGGTCATCTATTATATCTTGATTATGCAATGATTTAGGTAACCATTGGCATGCCAATAGTTTTATTGATTTAAATTTTGTTACCGAGGAAAAAAATAAATATGTATTTCTAATCAAATAGATTAAAAACTAAATTTAGTAAACTTATTGCGGCTTTTTAAAAATGGTTGTGTGTTCATGTTGTTGTTGGTTGATAATATTTTATTGCTAGTTTCTCTTCTAAAATGCTTCTTCCTGGTTTTTGGTTTCCTCTGTGTACAAGGTTGTACTTGTTTGGGAGTTCAAGTCTGATAGGTGAAGGGATCAACTTGAC